GAAGCGATGTCTCTAAAAGTAAATCGACTATAAACTAGCCTTGACGACGCCTGTTGCTGAGTCTAAATGTGCCAAACGGAAGAAAGTTCCAATGAATGTTCGACCGCGGGTTTATATTATGCGTAAAGTGTGCTCTACAACAGGAGCGCTGATTTTCGCGTAAATTTATCGTACTCTCTTTCTCTCCTCCCTCCCTCACTCGCCTGAGCCCATTGTCAAGACAAAGTCAAAAAGACCGAGGATGGGAGATGACGCAGTTGGCAACCTTCCAAGCCACGGCTTTTAGCGCATCATGATAGCTTCAAGCCTGAGACGTTTAAATAGAAAAAAGATCTAGAATAGGCCAAAGGCCGGTTATCAAACAGAAAATAAACTGGTGGTAACAGCACCTAAATGCCTTTTTTGTAATTAATTCCAGATGCTTTCTGACTAAAAGAGGCGGTAGATTTTGATAAAATGTACCTAATCCAGCCTGGAGATGGTTGTGTTGGCCTTGATTATAATGACAAGGTGGCAACAGCGGTGAATGTATTCAGAGTGTTCTCGAAGGGCTCGAAACAATAGGCGTATCGAATTTCTCATATGACGGGTGCTTTGGGATGTACGCGCAAAGCACTCGTTGTTATACAGAAGAGCAGGCCACAGTAATGTTTTATATTCATAAATTTTCTTTGCTATGGTTTTTTTTTATTAGCAAATTCTGTTTTCTTTAGGTTTATATTAGTAGAAAAGGTACATTCTGAATTCCAAAATATCCTAATTCTGAGGGTTTTTCAGGACCATGAAATGTTCATTTAAACAGTATCGCACCTATCCTCTTATCAATTATGCTTCTGAAAAAGAATTCGTGAGCCCTATATGGCTTCTTTCATACATAGTAGAAATTTGTGTACCTTTCCGTACACGGAATGTTAAGAAACACCAAACGCGAGTGTAACTGAAGGTCGGGATCCAAACTGCTGGATAATTGAAGATAAAAGTATTTAAAAACCTAAAAAAACGTAGTTTGAAATAAAATGTGAAGCAGATGTAACTTTCTATTAAATGAAATATTAAATATTAAATGACATATTAAATATTTCTATTAAATAAACTTTTTAAGCATATTTTCGATAAAATATGTTTGAAAAGGCATGAAAACAAACGGAAAATCCAGAATACTTAAGTAGCAAATGTAGTTTACGCCTAAATGATCCTAAGACAGACCAGGCTAGCTGACACAAATAAAGGAGGAGAGGAAGTACGCAAGTATTAGTGGCGGCCCAAGCTCTTGGCGTGTGATCAGACCTAAGCCAGCATGCGCGCCTATGAACAAGGATAACATTATCGAGAACAGTGTCTTAGGTGAGAGTCGGTCATGGTAAATTTTGGCACTTCGTTGGATGGTAAATGTGACCGAGCTGAATGCTCTGACGCTCTACTTGGAAGTGTGAACCATGTGATATCAATTGTTGTATGGAAGGCCTTAAGTGCCCACAGACGGTATAAACATCAAAGGATATTACCACGCTCTTCGTTTTCTTAGGAGAGAGAATTCGATTTAATACATTTGAAGCCACAGGTTTCAGTCGGACCACGAAGAAAAAGCTATTTGTGGTTGGTAAATACGGTGAAGTCTAAGGACAGGAATAAGTGGTACTATCTAATGCGAACACTAGAGGTCAGTATAGGACTGGCTTATTATACACACTGGAAACGCTTGGAGAAGACAATGGTACAATGCGCCATAGTTATGTGGATAAGTCATGGACAGCAAAAGTTTTCCAATCTCCTTTTTGAAGATACAA